TTGCCACGGTCGGCCGTGGAAGGGCCGACTGGGACAGCCGCTTCGGACGCAGGATGGACATCCTGGTCCTGTGGAGGAGCGGGCTTTTCGGTCGCCGCTACTGGTTCCTCGGCCGGTCGTTTGCCACGGTCGGCCATGGAAGGGCCGACTGAAACAGCCACCTTAGACCCAGGAAGAGGTTGACGGCGGGGATGAGGGTGACTCGCCACTGGAACTTCGTCGCTCCCTTCGCTCTCTTCCAGAACGACGATCGAAGGCTTTGGAGGTGCGGAAGAAGTCTTCTCGGTCGCAGAGACTGCCTTTTCTAGGGCAGGCGTAGCCCCGACCGATGGAGCTACGACTGGTGCACCGACCTCAGAAACAGGCCGTGCTTTGACTGTTTTTGCGGTCGGAGTTGGCTGTTTCTCGACCTGGCCGACAGTGAGAGAAGGGGAAACACTGGGAGTCGTCGCCTCCGTAGTATGACTGGAAATGACGTAGATCTCCCGTGCTCCTTTCTTTGCCAACTTTTTGACCCGCTTAGCAGGCCGTGGGGGTTCGATGGTCGGCTCGGCCTCTTGACGAGGCCGTTTGCTCGGCAAGACAGGCCCAGCGGTTTTAGCTTTCTTCGAGGCGACCGATTGTTTCTCAGCTGCAGCTGCAGCGACCACTTCCACCTTTTTCAAGGACCGGCTACCTGAGGAAGCAAAAGCAAGTCAGCAAAGCAGATCAGAAATTCAAAATTGAAAGAAAAAGGTAGAAATAAACCATTACCTTGGGTTTGGGGGGCAGAAGCCTTCTTAGGTCGACCACCGAAGAGTTTGGCGAGAACGGTTTCGACCGGGACACCAAAGAACTGTTGGGTATATTCTTCCCACCAGGCACCGAAGGTATTGGTGCAAAGAGTTTCTAGAGTGGCCGGTCGAAGGTGGAATTTCTGGCACCGCTCTTGGAACTCCCTTTTCGCGTCGCTGCATTCATTCTCGGAAGAACCATTTTTGCGTCCACGGCTCAGGACGGACTGAGAGGAGAGAATGGGGACCGGGCAACCTTAGAGGTAGCCAAGCTGCCGAGCGAGGAAGTTTGGGTGATACACTTCCCAACTCGCTCGGCGGCCCTCACAGCCGAGAGGAAGGTCGCGGGCAAGCACGGAGGACCCCCAGGATTGACGAAGGTCAGCCTTTTCGTCCACGCCCCATGCTGATGTAGAAAGTCTAATCGACGAAGGGTATTCTGGATGACGACAGATCAAGAATTCGTCATCAGAAAGGTCGTCGAGAGCGAAAAAATATCTGAACACTTCTTCAGCTTGGTGGGGGGGATTGGCCGAAGAGCCAGTTGGGGGCCGAGCGCTTCCTTGGGCGAAAAATCGGCCATCGTTGGCCGAAGAGGGGCAAAATAGACCTGCAGCCAGAGTTGGAAAACCCAGAGGGGCCCATTCTGCTGCGGATCGACCTTGTCTAGAGTGACTTCGGCCAAGCAGCGTAGGAGATGTGCGAGAATGGCCGGGCTAAGTGCCAAAGTGTGACCACTGGCTAAAGCTTCGGCCACTGGCATATTCTCGACCAGACACTTATTAGATTTGGTACAACAAATAAATTTGTTGTACCAATAGAAGAGGAAAGCCTCGTGCTCCCCTTCTCGCAAAGCCTCTTCTCCTCGGCCGGCAAAATGGAGGTAGAGGGTGTTGTAGTTGAAAAAGTTCTTGTGAAGCTTGTGGACTTCTTCCTTCGAGGGTGTTTGGCCATCACCGCTCAGCGTCTCAAGGGCCCTCTTGTCGAAGAGCACCTTCAAATTAAGGTTCGACGGGTACCTAGGGAGGGCAGCGTCGACTGGGATTCCAGTTGGGGAAGTCCCCAAGATGGCAGTGAGGTCGAGGATGGTGGGGCCAATGGGGCCAAGAGGGAGAACCATGGTGTTAGTGGCCGAACACTAGAAACATGAGGCCGCCAATAGAAGCTCATTGTCCAGGATGATATCCATGGATGAGAGGCGAATGGCATCATAAATGCCTAGGGCTTTCCATTGCTTGCCGAAAAGCCTTTCCATTCGTACAACCCAGGCTGCCCAGGCTGTAGTGGTCGAGGGCCAGGAGCTTTGAGGCCTCGCCACCTCTCACTTCGACCATTCAAATCCTTGCAGCAAGGATGACAGGCAGTGCTTCTGGAGAAGCCCGGTGATGGTTGGTGGCACCGCCGCCTTAAAGAGAGGACCCAAGATTTGGTGAGAGGTACTCATGTCACTCTCAAATCGGATGGTCTTGATTGAACTCCGATCGATGATTTTTTGGCATTGGTCACACTCCTTAGAAAGCTTGGAGATAAAGGAGGCCATGGTGAATGGTTTGACAAGAAAAGAATTTTCTGGGTTTAAAGATTGAGGGACGAAGACTTGGGAAAAAGAACTGCGCTGGAGAACAAAGGCAAGAAATTTCAGAGAGATTTTGAAAGCGTAAAGTATGAATGATGGATTTCAGTATTTATAGGATTTTGGAAGGAAGGGCAATCGTTCGAAATTCAAAATAAAGGGAAAATTTGACCAAAGGAATCACTGATCATGATGAACATTCAGGAAATGCAGTTGAGAAGACCGAGAGTCTAAGGTTTTGGGGGCGCACGATTGCGTGTGATGGCGAGTTTAATGGCGAAAGACGTTTTGACGTCTGCACGATGACAAACGGCTCGCGGATTGAGGTAGAGTGGCTATGTTCAGCCATAAGGTCATGATGGCATGACGGTTCAGGTAGCCGCACGCCTTAGACGTCATTATTAGGGATTGGCCGTGTTAGAAGACGCCACGTGGCGAGTTGGTTAGCAGGATCAAGATCGTGCAATCGTGCTCAATAAATGCGCCTTGGAAATAGAGCACTAGGGTTCTGAGGATTACATTCGCTTCTTCAAGGCCGAAACTCGGCCAACGAATTCAGGCCGAGGACCTCAGAAGCGAGGGGGCAATGTTTGGGCCCAAAATAATAGTTTGGGCCGAGTATAGAATCGTTCTCGGCCCGGAAGGCCTTGCGACAAGAATGTCGTGGATCATTCAATACGTGGGCCTCCAAACCTAGGTCGGCTAGGTCATAACGTAAGAAGTCGAGTCCTAGTGCAATGAGGAGTCTCGACAGGACTAATAACCCGGAAGCGAATCCGGCTCGGTTAGGGACTAGGTTCACAATCCTAGTGAAAATAGGATTGGTCGAGTTGGTGCTGATCAGGAGAAGAAGACCTAGTTCGAGTAGGGTTTTAACTCGACCTTGGGGGGAGCCGTTGCTATAAATAGAAGAGGCTGTGCATCATTCAAGCCCCCTGCAAATCAATACAAAACTGCCTTGCGCAAACTCTCAACAACTTGAGATTTTTTCCTTCTTTTTCATTGACACGTCTTCCGTTGGCATCAACAGCACTGTGGAAGCAACCGGTGATATCTTAAGTCGACATAGATAGCTCTGTCACCGTAGAATCAGTCGATCTCGCAGTATCTTCCGTTGGCATCAACAGCACTGCGGCGAGAACGGTTGATTACCTATCCAAGTCTCAGTCGAGAAGGATTTCTGAATCCTTATTGATTGAGGTCATCTCATTAGCCTTCTCGACGAAGTGAGGTGTTACGGTATATCGAGCTCGGCGCTTTGCTCGCCGAGTTATTTTATGATTGGATATTCCCAAGTGGGATTTAGAGTTCGGCATTTGGACGGCCGAACCACGTTTACCATCAAGACTTATATCTGTTTTGAGTATTTGTGCCCTTACACTTTGGTGTCGATTCGGCGAGAGTTTACTCTGACGAATAACATCACTGTGACCGAATCCGACGACGACGATTCGTGAACTTCGTAAAGAATAGTAACCTTGTCTTCAGGTTCGAGAACCCAAGAGGCCGAGACGCGTTCCTTCCTCGGTCGCAATCGCAAGACGTAGAAGTCAGTCGCGCACTCAACGCAACATCAACAAATTTACTCCTCGGCCGAGCTCGGCCGACGAGTTGGCACGCCCGCATTCACCGAAGGACGTAGTTAGCTTATAGATTACTCGGCATGCGCGCCACGTAGGCTTGGTAGTTTATAGGGTCAACAAATGCAAAAGGAAATTTATCTATTTTTTATCTAAGTGAGTTGCAACCTAGGCAGGTGTCTAGGCGGGTCTAGGCGGACTAGGCGGGTGGCTAGGCAGTCTAGGCAGGAGCTCTAGCGCCCTTTCTTAATTTTCAAACGTTTAGACATTAATCAGGACGGTGACCAGCCACTTAGTACCTAATAGCGGAGGTCTAGACGACGCTAGGCGGGGATTTTTAGAACAGTGCATACCGTTTAGGTTCCTCAAAATCCAAAGCAAGCAAAATTCACTCCTAATATTCTTTTTAGTCACGGCGAAAACTCAAGTAGTTCATTTCGTTCGGAGTGGTAGGTCAGCATTCAGATGAGGGATGGGTGGCCAACAGGTCCGGCGCGCTTGAGAGTTTTTTACTTAAGATGTTTTGATTTTCTCTCTTAAATACGAAAAAAAGGTGAAATTAGAAATTTAAGATGTCTTTATTTTTATAGTATATTCGTAATGTGCGCCAGAAAAGAGAGAGAAACAAAAATTCCCTAAAAAATGGATTTACCTTATTAGTAGTAATTACCAAATATATAGCGATAAAGTAACTCTATTTAATGAATGGATAAGTCATACAGAAAAAATTGCGTTTTCATACATGCATCTATGTATGAATATTTCCAGACAAACTTCCATATATAAAACCAAAGGTTGGATAATATCAAACAAAAATTCATCAAAACATGTACATATATACCAAAATAGTCTACATTAATTATTGTATTTCTTCATTGCAAAAATATTAAATTTCTTTTCAGGATAAAATCTTCCACGATTGACTAAGGTAATCCCTTGCAAACTACTATAAATAGCATCGGTGGTTTAGCGTTAAAGCACACCAACTAAAACCCTAAAAAGTCACTAACGCTCTCTTCCCTCCTTTTTCCCTAGTCTCCGTTTCTCTCAAAATTTCCTCGCTTTGAAAAAATCATGGCTGGGAGGAAGAAGGTGAAGCTAGCCTACATCATGAACGACGCAAGTCGAAAAACGTCATACAATAAAAGGAAGAACGGCTTCATTAAGAAGATGCATGAAATCAATATTCTTTGTGATGTTCCAGTATGTGGTATTATGTACAGTCCATATGAGTCTCAACCTGTTGTCTGGCCCAATCTTTTGGAAACGCAACGCCTCATCACCAAGTTTAGGAGCATGCCCGAGGCAGAGCGGAATAAGAAGATGGTGACCCATGAGATGTTTTTGAAGCAGAGGATTGAAAAGGAGCAGGAGAAGCTGAACAAGCTGAAGAAAGAGAACCGGGAGAAGCAAATTCGGATGCTCATGAACCAGTGTCTTACTGGAAGGCCCCTGATTGGCTTGGACTTAAACGATTTGAACGATATGGAGTGTATGATCAAGGAGTGCGTGACAGAGATTGTCGCACAGATCAAGAGCCGGAAGGAGGAGAATCTGGCGGAGAGGAACCAACCCCAAGTTGCACGTACACAAGTGCTAGCACCCTCAACTGATCAGAACATGCATGCAGCAATGGAAACACAAATGTTTGATCTAAACAACATGGACGCCATGCAGACGGCTCCATGGTTCGTAGGGGACGTGTCAAACCAACATTTCGGCTATGTTGATGATCAGATCCCGCCCCTTTAATTTCCCTCCAACTATTTAAACTATTTAAGTAGTTTTGTTTCAAACAGTGTTTTAAGTTGTTTCCAATTTGATGCATGATTACCTTGACATCAAAACCACAGTGTCTTTATGTCTTTTATTTCTTGAATTTTATGCAGTCAAAATTAATTATATAAGAGCCGTTTGTTTTGTATTCATATTCTATAGGTCCTGCTGGATAAAAGATACATTGATATGTTAATGAGAAAATCAAAGAAATAACAACCAATCAACAAGCAAACAAAATCATAGGACTGATTAATCATAAAGGTCCAGGGAGCTCGATATTTTCATAAATTGATCTCATATTTATTTATAAAAAAAATACAAATAATCATAAAGGTCCATGGAGTTGGATGTTTTCAAAAATAGATCTCTTATATTTATTTATAAAAAATACTTTACGCAAAGAATAACTTATAACTTGAAGAGGAATTCTACTATTTGACAAAATAAAAAAAAAAGAGGAATTCTACTAATTAATGTATGTTTGCACCATTTCTTATTGAATAATGTTCATAACATTAGAAGGCAAACCTCCACCCATTAGTTAAATCTAATTTTATGGAGTAAAAGAATGTAAGAAAACATTGAGAACGCAAATTATAACTTTTTTCTGTTTTTTATATGTACTATATTGAACAAGAAAAAAAGGTGTATTATATGAAAGAATTTTATCGATGACTAATTTCCGTAGGTACTTTTGTAAAATTATTAAATATGCAGATTGATTAGAAAAATTATGATAAATTATTGATTCTTTTGGTGTCTAAATATATGATTCATTTAAGTTTACTATAGTTCGAAACTTTCTAACATTCAAAAATTTATAGATCCAAATGTCATACTCAGTAAAGATTTATGATACGTTTAGGAGTTCAAGAGTTGTGCTCTATACCAAAAAGAATAATGGTGGTGGAAGAAGGAGGTACAAGAAAAGGTTAAGGCTATAAAGGAATGTTGTAAAGTAAGGTGCATCAAGGATGAGAATGAAAATGTTATAGCTATGGATAATGGAAATGATCTAGCTATGGAGAATGCAATTAAAGAGAGATGGAGAGATTATTTTTATAATATGTTCAATGAAGGACACGCAATGGATTACTTCTCTACATGAGTTGAGTAACTTGGAAGAGTGTAAAAGTTACTCTTTCTACCGTCGAATCAGGAAAGAGGAAGTGATTTTAGCTTTGGAAAAGATGAAGCATAAATAAGCAGTGGGTCCCAATGATATATATAGGATTTAAGGGCAAAACTTCAACGATATACCAATCAAAGTGTGGAAGGTCTTAGAAGAGACGGGTATAGTATGGCTCATAAACTTTTTCAATAAGATTTTGAAAACAAAGAGATGCCAAATGAGTGACAAAAAAGTACTTTGATGCCTATCTACAAGAACAAGGGCAACATACAAATTGCATGAATTATAAGGGTATAAAGTTAATGAGTCATACAATGAAGCTTTGCGAGAGAATAATTGAACATAGACTGAGAAAAGAGATACAGGTCTCAAACAATCAATTCAGATTCATGTCAAGGCGCTCGACTATTGAGGCAATCTATCTCTTACTAAGATTGATGAAACGACATAGAGATATTCAAAATGATTTGCACATGGTCTTTGTAGATTTGAAAAAACGTATAATAGGGTCCCAAGAGACATTCTTTGGAGAATTACAGAGAAGAATGAAGTACAAGTATCATATATTCAAGCAATAAATGATATGTATAACAAAGTAATGACTGTAATAAGAACTCATAAAGGACAAACTAAAAGCTTTCCCATTACCATAGGGTTACACCAAGGCTAATCTTTAAGCCTTAACCTTTTTGCATTGGTAATGAATAAATTAACGAGATATATTCAAGATGATATCTCTTGATGTATGCTTTTCGCAGATGATGTAGTGCTAATAAATGAAACGCATGATGGAGTGAATGTGAAGCTTAACCTTTGGAAGGAAGTTCTGGATTCTAAGTAGGTCAAAGACAGAGTGGAGTGCAAGTTCAATGAGAATTGAGGTGCAAATATGATAGGGTGATGACTGAAGATTAGGAAGTACAAAAGAGTGAAAGCTTTCGTTACCTTGGATTTATCTTGCAAAAGAACGAAGAATTGAAAAGGGATCTCAACTATAGAATACAAGTTGAATGGATGAAGTGGAATAGTCATCGAGTGTGTTGTGCAACTGTTATATGCCACTAAAGTTCAAGGTAAATTTTTATAAGACGATAATAAAGCCAACAATACTTTATGGCATGGAATGTTGGATGGTTAAGCATCAAAATGTGTAAAAAATGAGGTAACATAGATGAGAATGCTTCGTTAGATGTGTGGGTACACGAGAAAGGACATGATTAAGAATAAGGATATTCGAGGTAAGTAGAAGTGATTGCTATTGAAGATAAGATGAGTCGTTAAGGTGGTTTGGACATGTGAACCAAAGACCTACAAATGCTCCAGTGAGAAAATGCGATTATGAGACAAGCTCATGGTAAAAGGGGTAAAGGAAGAATTGCAAATGGACTTTGAGAAAAGACATGAAGTACTTGGAGCTAACATAAACTTGTTAAGTGCAGTGGCGTTTGTGAACACGAAATTTTCCTGAAACAAACGAGACAAGAACAACGTGCACAAAATAATATTTTGTATTTGATGATTTTGGGTTACAATCTCTCTCAAATTTAATCCTCTGATTCGATCTCCGTAAGGTGTTGATTTATTGATGTTTCGTTGATCCAAGGGTCGTCGAGGCTTGATTTTGGATGAACTGTTGGAAATTTCTTCAAGGGCCGTGGGCTTGATCTTTGAAGGTGGATTTGAGCGAATCTTCAAGGAGCCGTTGGGGCTTGATCTTGAGGATGAGTGTTTCTTCAAGGGCCGTTGAGGCTTAATCTTGAATAACGGTGATGAACGGATCTTCAAGGGCTTTTGGGCTTGATCTTGAAGAATAGTGATGAACGGATCTTCAAGGGCTTTTGGGCTTGATCTTGAAGAACGGTTGGATGTGTGGATTTGTCGACGTTGTTGATCCAAAGGGCCGTTGGGGCTTGATCTTAAGATGAACGGATGATGAACGGTGGTGCTTTCTTCAAGGGCTGTCGAGGCTTGATCTTGAATTGGTGGAAGTTCTTCAAGGGCCTTTGGGGCTTGATCTTAAATTGGTGGATTGTTGATCCAAGGGCCGTCGGGGCTTGATCTTGGAAGAACGATGAACAAAGAACGAAGAACACTTTCTTCAAGGGTCGTCGGGGCTTGATCTTGAATTGGTGGATGATTGTTGATCCAAAAGGCCTTTGGGGCTTGATCTTGGAAGAACGGTGAACGAAGAACACTTTCTTCAAGGACCGTCGGGGCTTGATCTTGAATTGGTGGATGATTGTTGAACCAAAGGGCCGTTGGGGCTTGATCTTAGGATGAATGATGAACGAAGAACGAAGAACGAAGAGAGCTTTCTTGATTCTTCGGGAACCTGGATGCTTGAGAGCTTCGGAGTTTCAGAGCTTCAGAGCTTCAAGAATTTTGCCTAATGATTTTGGTTTTTTAAAATGAATGAAATGGCTTCTATTTATAGAATTTTCCAAGGCCTAATTTTGAATATAATATTCCAGATGAAATAAATCATATCTGCCAGGTGTTGACACGTGTCATATTTGATGCCTTTTATGACTCATTTCAATTTTTCGTCGAGTCACACGCTACGTGTAAAATTTATGTAATACATGAGCGTTAAAATTGTAACTATTGGTCAATATTTATTTCACCGAAATTTCGATGTCTACAGCGTTCTAAGATTTATACAAACTACTCCATTTAATGGTGTTGTAGAATTTCTCCATAATTCAATGTTGTTTCTATGATACTTTTAATACTAAATAGTTTCTCCAAGATCCATGGAAATATATATAAACATGTCTGGGAGGGGGGAAGGTTGAATGTGGATCCTCTTGGATATAAAATTTCTTGATATGGTATGAGAAAATCAAACAACCAACTGAGCAACAAGTAAACAAAATTAGATGACCTATTTTGTTAATAAAAGTGCATGCAGGTAGTTGGAGACGTTTTCGTAAAGAGTTCTCTATATTATTTTCAAAAACATTTACACAAAGAACAACTTAAATATTGAAAGATGACTTCTAAATGTTCATACTTTTCATGTTGAATAATAATTTTTATAGTATCATGAGAACACTTTCGGAGAGAAAATATAACCGAGTTTATTTTGGTTATTGTTATAAGAAGCACAAGTAGTCAAGAAAAATAATCAGCAGAACGAAATATAACTGATGTTGGCAGATGTCACTTTACTGCAATGGTGGAAAATAATCATACCAATATTCTAGTATGGGTTCGATTCGCACTGATTTCTCTTTCCTTTAAAAATGACATATTTAATATTATTTCTATAAAAAAAAAATATAACTGATGTCGTATTGTACGAAAGAGAGATTGCCCGTGGTTGTGCAATAAATATTTAATTAATATATATGTTTGTAATGTATAACCCACTCACGAACCACATCATGTAAGTAATAATTATCTGATGTGGAGACTACTTATGTACTACTACATAGAATTTTTATCACCTGCAAAATTAAGGTAAAAAATATTTAAAAATACTTGCACGAGAACAAGATTATCATAGTATAAAAAAGCTCAAAAACCTAAAATATTTACAAAATAACAAGGTTATCATAGTAAAGAAAGCTCAATTAAAATCATTTTCTACAAGGATTGATATGAATAACTTGTATTTAAACCAACTGTTAATTAACTATTCAACACAAGATTTAGAAAAGATTTGTAATTGTGAATTAAAGTAAAAGACAAACAGTAAAAACAACTAAACTAACAAGGATTGAAATCGGCAATAAGAAAACAAATGTTTTAGAAAATCAAATGTAAAAGGCACTCGGGTTTAGCCATCACCATCGACAATCCTATGTAGTTCTACAAATTATTTATGAATTACACATGCAAACTTTGAATGTTAGATTTTCGTGATGCATATTCCACTTGGTATGTTCAAGTTAGAATGTACATCTAATATGCAATATGTCTATGATGTTCAGATCAAATATAAACATGGAAGACTCATTAAGTTGTGTGAGAAACTTTTAAAAAACCATGCAACCCTTAAGAGCGTGATGTTTGCCTTAAGTGAGTTTACAATTATCAATCATAAGAAGCCCTATTCAATTCCAGGGTGATGTTCCAACAAAAATTACATCAAATTTTTTTGTCTAACCATCCTAGTAATGATCACTCATCAAGATATGTAGATAGTTTAAACACGATGATAATCATTTTTACATTCATCTCGTTACCTAGAAATTATCCAAATATCTTTTTTTACAGCTTAAAGGAGAGGGCTATATGAAATTAAAATTCCTCAAATGGCAAGTGAGATATTTTTTTCCACAGTGTAGTTGTATTTTATGGTGTAAGAATCTGAAATTGTTCTCTGGAATGTGCTTTGAAAAATGTAAAGAAGGCTCTTATTCTATGTGGAACTTTGAAGGGTTAACCCTAGACAATCAATTATTCGATTTATATGAACCATCAAAAGGTACTCACCAGGGATCTTATAAAAGTGAAACTTATATAGGTTTAGAAAGATCACGGTTCAATACAGCTATACAGAAGTGCATCCAACTCTCACTGCACCAACAACTTTAGGCTGGAATCACTAGTGACGTGTCTCACATTGTTTTTATGTGTACGTTAATGGAGGCGGAGCCATCCAGAATTCGATATCAAAAAAAAGTGGAAACAAAGGATGACTGAAATCAAGACCGACAAGAATGACTGAGACCTTAATGAACTGAAATCCAACTCTCACTGCACCATCAACTTTAGGCTGGAATCACTAGTGACTTGTCTCACTTTGTTTTTATGTCTTGAATGTGTACGTTAATGGAGGCGGAGCCATTCAGAAATCGATAAAAAAATTAAAAAAAAATTTAAAAAAAAAAAGTGGAATACAAAGGATGACTGAAATCAAAACTGACAACGAATGACTGAGACCTTAATGAACTAATGAAACGAAAAATTAGAAATCCAAACCAACAACTAATGAACAAAAATCAGTACAATCTCTACTTAATTACTTAAGAGTAATGCTAGAGAGACCAAATTTTTTGAACCAAATGATGTGTCACCAATAAGAAACAAGCACGTGAATCGACACTTAATTAATAATCTAATTATCTACAACCACATCATTTAGTTTGCAAATTTGGTTTAAAAAATTTAATACATTACTCTTTCTTAAATATGAGACAGACTAGAGGAAGAAATAATCCCTTCGAATACTGCTAAATTAGTACATTCAGAAACCAGCAGCAACTGACTGAGAACTTCATGAACGAAAAGTTACCCATCTGAACCAACAGCGAATTAATGAATGTAAATTTGTACAACCTCCGCTTACTTTAATATGAGATCTTACATTAGTTCACCAAGCCTGTAACCAACTTCATAGCATTTAATTAGCAGTCAAATTAGTGAAGAATGTTGAAAAGCTGCTCCAGTTGTTTGGTTAGCTGATTCAAGTTATGATTCAATACAGGGGTAAAGAACTAAAGATTCAGGGTTTAAGGTAAAGATGGTATTATGTGACACACAACGTGCATACTTGTAGACACCGAAACAACAGCCAGATTAACGAAAATTAGTACAATCTCCGCTTACTTTAACACGAGACCTTAGATTGGTTGATCAAAAGTGTAATTCCATGATTGTAAACACCAAAACAACCAATAGCATTAGTGAAGAATGTTTTGAAAACAAGTTGCTCTAGTTGTTTGATTAGCCATGATTTGAGTCTCGGTTCAATGCCACGGGCTGGAGTGAAGATTTTGTTATGTGACACACAACATGCATATATAATATGCTTTGTTTCTGGTTCATATTGATCTTAATTATGTGTCTCCTCCTACTTTGGAGGGTTGGTCTGGTATTTTTTTCTCTACCATTGCTTTTGTTTCTGCTAGCTGTACTTATTGTCTGTGGAAAAACCCCTATGCCTAGCTACATTTGCATGTTGCAGCAGCCTTTTAAAAAAACTATCTTAAGTAAGATGCTATTTGAGGACAAAATTAAATCATGTACCATGTACAACAATTTGTGCGGAAGAAACCACAACCCCTATTTGTGAAACTGACTTAGATTCCAAATAATTGTAGGCACTTTAACTTTCAACCAGTATCTTGCAAGAAAAGTAACTGAGTAAATTGCTTGAATTACGAAGCTAGAGTTCGGTCTTGTATCTTTAGACAACTTACATACGCTCCTTGTACACAATAATTTTTTAAAGCAATATATAGGCCAAAAATATAAAAGAACTTGATGAAACAGCTGCTTTATCAGAAATCTATTGAAAACTTGCCTGCAAGAATATTATGTAAATTATGTTGAAGGTTAAAATCTAAAGGATTCTATGTGCTCTTTAAATTTTCTTAAATTTCCAATTTTCGATTATACAATTAAATCATGAACATTATCTTTAAAAACCTGAAGAAACCACACAAAGACTGCTATTGAATTGCTGCATATTGCTAATCAAAAGCAACCTGAATTTTTCTTTTAACCAGGAATGGTTGATTGCAAACATGGAGAAGATGATGAAAGTAATTTATAAAATTCTATATCTGGTGGTACGAAATCGTACAATATTCTAGGGTATATCTAAGACTGCTTCTGGAAGTGCTAAAAACGTTTTATGACAGGCAAAAACACTTACATTTGGCAGAAAAACTAACATTGTTTCATGGTCATAGATGTGCACTTTTCCATGAAGCACTTTGATGTCTACTAAAATAACTTTTGGTAAAAGTGCTCATGAGAACAAGTGCTTCCGGTAGTGACTGTCATGCTGAAACTTCTGATTAGTTTCTCTCTTCTACCATGTTTTTTTTTTTTTTTTTTTTTTGAAAAAATACACCAGTAAACTTCGACGCTGCATTGACAACTTCCACTAGCTTCATGCTGCTTATAATTAAGTTTATGGCAATATCCATTAGTTTTCTACTTAAATTGATTTTGAAAACCAAAATAGAAGAATGAAAAAGACAGAATGGTAGTAAAAAACTCTGTGACTTAAGATAACAGAAAATGCATAGCAGAAACAGATACGACATTTATTATAGTGATTTACAAATAAATACAAGCTTGTTTGAATAAAATATCACAATATAGTACATTAAGTAATGCAGGCATCCATGGTTTTCCTTTCTTATTAGGCCTTTCCATCAGGGTTCACAGTTAAGGTTTGGCACTCATATTCTGAGACAATGTTCTTGTGGATTCTGTCTATGAAAGCAGCAGCTTTGTTGTCAATCCCGGGCTCAGCCACGAACCGGCCTCTGTCCTCCTCGCTCGGCCAAACCCTCCTTGCATTCATGTAGGAATCCTCCGCCATGTCGTCCCCTCTGCGATTGTGTGGCCTCCTCGATTTGAACATGTTGAAGAATGAGAAGGAGGATTTCTTCTGCCTGTTGCCTGCCATAACTCTTTTTCGACGCGAAAAGATAATTAAACACAAAGGTTTAAGTGAGATGAAGAAAGTTCTTAATACTCACTTTGGTTTGTTGTGACTATTAAGAAGGTGGTGTGTATTTATAGTAGGAGGTGATCCTAGTGGAGAATCTTGGAGGATTCAAACTGCAGCTAAGGAAGTAATTTTGGATGGTTGAGATCACAAATAAGACCAGAGAAAACAAAAGGTTGAAAGTACATTTTCTATGGTCCTCTACTTTCTCAATTGACCAAAACACTCATAGAATTATTGTCTCTCATTTGACCAAAAGCAGACTCATACAATTTTCGAAGAATTGCCATGGAAATTGCATATGTTGCTAGAGCGGGATGTGCTAGCTTCCTTATGCACTCGAGTTTAAATTCTCTTCCCCCACAAGAAGAAAAAAGAAGTACTACTATGAAGATTGCATTAAAATTTACAGATAAATCCTTTAAATAGTGATATTCCACCTAAAGTTCATTGTTAACCTTTCCACTTTCTTCATCTTCCAAATCATTTAATTAGCAGTGATGATCAGCCAAATCTGACCTGTTTTTGGGATGTGACCTATTTTTCTTGAGAGATGTATAGTTTTATTTGATTAGCTCCGGATTAACATACATTTTATGTTGAAATGGTATCAGGCTTTATACTTTAGGTTGATTAATACACAAAGATTGAAGCTTTAAAACCAGAAAATCTAAGAAGGAAGAGCACAGAGAGTAAGAGAATGTTTCTGTATATTTTTCTATATCTGTGAAAAAGCAGAGAATACAATCTTATATTCCTCTAATCAGTCAAATGCTAAGATCCTATTTTTCAGGTAGCAAGGACTCATCTCCAGCCATACATACCATCGGAGGCCACGATCCTTCCACTTGGAGAAGGATCGGGTAACACAGTACATCCCAAGACAGATAAGAATAACAGCTGTAAGGTTTCTAAAACAAGAATTAAAACTAGCCGTTACAAGTTTAAAAAGCTAATGGCTATTTCTAAAAATAGCAGTTCTTCATCTTTTCGAATTCTTCATTCTCTTCACTTTCAACCTGCAGGATTGTCATCTGCAAGTTGATTTAAGCTTAGTATGCAGCTTAATTCTCAACAGCCTCTCCTAAGCTGCTTACTGGCTTAACTCCAAGCCTCAATCTCAAATGATTAAACCTGTCTTTTGGCAAAGCCTTTGTAAAAATGTCTGCAAGTTGTTCTTCACTTCTGCAGAATTTCAAATCAATCACACCTTCTTGCAGGGTTTCTCTTATGAAGTGATACCTTCTGTTGATATGTCTAGTCCTCTGATGAAAAACAGGGTTCTTTGCCATAGATATAGCCGACATATTATCACAGAACAAAGGTGTTGCCTCAGTTTGCATCTCTCCAAAATCATCAAGAACAAACCTTAACCAAATGGACTGTGCTGTTGCCTCAGATGCTGAGACATACTCAGCTTCAGCAGTTGATAGAGCAACTGTGTTTTGTTTTACAGATGCCCAAGAAAACACTCCACTGCCAAAACTAAATGCATAACCAGAGGTGCTTCTGCTATCATCTTCACTTCCTGCCCAATCTGCATCACAAAATCCAATGAGAATTGCAGATTTGTCCTTCACATACTCAATGCCATAGTTAAGGGTTCCTTGCACGTATCTTAGTACTCTTCGTGCAATTCCCAAATGCTTCTTGGTGGGACTATTCATGAACCTTGATAACAAACTTGCAGCATACATCAGGTCAGGTCTAGTTGCTGTCAAATACAATAGACTTCCCACTATTTTCCTGTAAAGTCCTTCATCAGCTAATTCACTCCCATCCACTTTCTTTAGCTTTTCACCAGTAGGCAAAGGAATAGACACTGGTTTGCAATCTTCGAGCCCAAATTTCACAAGTAAGGACTTAGCATACTTACTTTGGTGTATGAACACACCTTGATCAGTTTGCAATATTCCCATGCCTAAGAAGTGATGTAGAAGGCCGAGATCAGACATTTCATATCTTTCCATCATTTCCTTTTTGAATTCACTGAGCATCTTGTCACTACTTCCAGTATATATAATGTCATCAACATAGATTGACACAATTATCAATCCTCCTTCATCATCAGATCTTGTATATAGTGTGGCTTCACTTGTGCTCCTTTTGAACTTGCACAGTGAGAGATATGCATCAATCTCACTGTACCAGGCTCTAGGTGCCTGTTTAAGTCCATATAAGGCCTTCCTTAACTTATAGACCTTGTGACCTGCACTTGCCAACTCAAAGCCCTCAGGCTGCTCAACATACACTTCTTCCTCAAGTACACCATTTAAAAATGCTGACTTAACATCCAACTGAAATAGCTTCCAACCTTTTTGTGCTGCAAGAGCAATGAGAGTTCGAATTGTGTCTAACCTTGCCACTGGTGCAAAGGTTTCATTGTAGTCAATCCCAGGTTTCTGTGCATACCCTTTTGCTACAAGCCTAGCCTTGTGTTTTTGAACCGTTCCATCCAAGTTAAGCTTAGTTTTAAACACCCATTTCACACCTATAACTGGTTTATCAACTGGTCTCTCAACAAGTTCCCAAGTATTGTTCTTTTCAATCATCTCCAACTCTACATTCATAGCTTCTTGCCAGGCTTTATCACCTACTGCTTCTTGGTAGTTCTCTGGTTCTATAATACACATGTGACATCTTGCATATATCTTCCAGAGTTCTGATCTTTACTGGAGTGGAGCTAGGTGTTGAGCCTTGGCTGTGACTTCCACTCATCTCCTCAACTGATTCATTAACAGTGGTGTTTGAATGAGTATCTCCAGCATTATTAAACTGATTTACATCAGTTTGTTCTTCACTAACTTCATTTTCTGCTCCATTCCCTTCAAGATTGAAAGGTATTGAGATAGACTCCCCTTGGTTACTTTCCCACTTCCATGATTTGTCTTCACTGAAAATCACACTCCTTGAGAGTACAATTTTTTTAGATTGCAGATCATACACTCTATATCCCTTTTCACAGCTTCCATATCCCATGAAGATCCCCTTTCTGGTTTTGTCATCAAATTTCTGCCTCAAGGGTGATGGGACATGAGTATAACAGATACAACCAAATACTTTCAGATGCTTAATTCCAGGCTTCCTACCTGTGAAAGCTTCGAAAGGTGTTTTATCTATCACAGATGTTGTGAAGCATCTATTTTGGAGATATACAGCTGTACTCACAGCTTCTGCCCAGAAAATCACAGGGACTCCTTTCTCAGTCATTATAGATCTTGCCATCTCACAAATTGTTCTGTTCCTTCTCTCAGCAACTCCATTTTGCTGAGGAGAATAGGCAATGGTTAGTTGTCTCTCCATTCCCATGCTTGTACAGTAATCCAGGAACTCATGTGAGGTGTATTCACCACCTCTATCACTCCTTAATTTCTTCAGACTAAAGCCACTTTGCAGTTCAACAAAAGCTTTGAATTTTTTGAACACATTGAAGGTATCAGATTTATTTCTGAGAAAGTAAACCCAACACATTCTTGAGAAATCATCAATGAATGTGATGAAATACCTATTCCCTCCAATGGACTCATTTTGCATTGGTCCACACAAATCTGTGTGTACCAACTCAAGTGGATAGCTTGCTCTCCACACTTTTCCTTTGTCAAATGACTCTCTGTGATGTTTCCCTGAAACACAACCTTCACACACATCTTCCATTTCTGTCAAAGCAGGTAATCCAAGTACCATTTCCTTCTGTGCATCTTCTTCATGCTAGCAAAGTTCAAGTGTCCAAACCTTCTGTGCCAGGTCCAAGAGTCTTCAATTACTGATGCTTTTCTTGCTACAGGTGTCATAGATTCTAGTGACAGAGGGAAACATCGATTTCCTGTCATGATCACCTTTGCTACAACATTGTTGAGGCTCCTATCATCAAAGATAACTGCCATATTACCTCCAAATAGAACATAGTATCCATGCTCCATCATCTAGCCTACACTTAGTAAATTCTCATCCAAACCTGGAACCAGCAATACTTCATTTATGTATCTTTTCCCATGCTGTGTTTCAACCACCAGAGTGCCTTTTCCAGTTGCTTGTACAAGGTCTCCAGTGCCCATTTTGACTTTACAAGATACAGATCTGTCAATGTTGATTAACACAGACTCTTGAGATGTCATGTGGTTACTGCAGGCACTGTCCACAAACCATACACTTCTATCTTGCATAATTGAAGAGTGACAAGCATAGAACATGGTTCCTATGGTTACCTCTTCTTCTTTTGCACAGTTAGCTACTTGCTTGTGACTATCACAGTCTTTTGCAATATGTCCAAATCGGTTGCATTTTCCCACACTTGGCTTTTCCTTTGTATCTGCACACACCGAAATGGTATTTCTGACAAACTTGACACTGTGGTTTCACACAACTTTGACTACTACTTCCTTGCTTGTTCTGAGAGTTGAATCTATTGTTCCAATTTCCTCCAGAATTGTTGTTCCAGTTTGAGCCATTGTTGTTGCTCAAGTTTCCACTTTGAGACCAATTTGATCCCTTTTTGTATTGTCCCTGCCACTTTTGATTTGGTCTACTCTGTGACCCCTTGTAGGTACCCGAAGCTTGGTTATTTCCAACTCTTAGGCTACTAAAGGCTCTCTCAGTTCCTATCAATTTATCCCTTTCATCATGCAGATCTTCCCTTTTATCATAGACTTTGACAGATGCAATGACTTCTTCAACTCTAATAGCATCTAGGTCTCGAGTTTCCTCGATAATGGACACAATGGATTTATACCGCCTACTTAGACTCATTAACAATTTCTGCACAATTCTTTGTTCAGTCACATCTTCACCAAGGGATTTCAGATTGTTCACAATTCCAAAAAACCTACCCAAATAGTCATCTAGGTTTTTCACTATCTATCATTCTCATATACTCAAAATCAGCCCTAACTGCTTGAAGTTTTACAGCTCTTACCTTTTTATCTCCTCTGAACTCTCTTCTCAGAATGTCCCATGCCCCTTTTGCAGTCTTCTCATTTCTGATGCGAGGGAAAAGCTCATCGGTTATGGCTCCTTGTATGAGACTCAGCGCCTTGGCATTCTTTATTCTGTCTTCTCTGGAGATGGTAGGTGCTTCCACTGGAACTTGCTCAGCCTCACTACCTTCATCTCCAGAATCTTCTTCCTCCTCGAGAATCGGCTGTGGTTGTACTCCAATCTCTACTACATCCCATAGGTCATGCGCTATGAGGATAGTCTCCATTTTGACTGCCCAAAAATCATAGTTTGCACCATCAAACTGTGGAGTTCGTAAATCTCCACCTGAAGAACCTGATCCCACCATTTTCTTGGTGAATACCAGTGAACCAACAATAAAGGAACCACCTTTATCCCCTTTTGGAAATTTTTCAGGAAGAACCTCTCTCACAGTTTCACGCCCCTCTCTGGAATCAGACCTAGTGCTCTGATACCATGTTGAAATGGTATCAGGCTTTATACTTTAGGTTGATTAATACACAAAGATTGAAGCTTTAAAACCAGAAAATCTAAGAAGGAAGAGCACAGAGAGTAAGAGAATGTTTCTGTATATTTTTCTATATCTGTGAAAAAGCAGAGAATACAATCTTATATTCCTCTAATCAGTCAAATGCTAAGATCCTATTTTTCAGGTAGCAAGGACTCATCTCCAGCCATACATACCATCGGAGGCCACGATCCTTCCACTTGGAGAAGGATCGGGTAACACAGTACATCCCAAGACAGATAAGAATAACAGCTGTAAGGTTTCTAAAACAAGAATTAAAACTAGCCGTTACAAGTTTAAAAAGCTAATGGCTATTTCTAAAAATAGCAGTTCTTCATCTTTTCGAATTCTTCATTCTCTTCACTTTCAACCTGCAGGATTGTCATCTGCAAGTTGATTTAAGCTTAGTATGCAGCTTAATTCTCAACATTTTACTACGTATTTAATTAACAGATACTATGCATATGATTCTATCACCAGAACGAGTCATCCCTCGTGATCTAAAGCTTGTTTAGATTAAGATTAAGCGTGTGTTGATCAGTAAAATTGGCATACTTAATGGGGTTTTGTTTAAGAAAATTATTTGGCCTTCATTAACTTCAAGGAATAAGAAATACTGGAAACTTCATAAGATATTCAAGAATGCAGAAGGTATATATAATAGTAAAAAGTTCCCCCTTCTTTAGAAAGATAGCTTTGGTTCATGCATTGATAATTAAAGTTCGGCATCCCCTCCTTTCCTTCTTTTCTTCGTACAGACAAATCATAGTCCGACACATATAAAAACCTTTTCTTTTGCTGGTTTTATAAACCATTTCAGTATTTGTGTCAACTTGTGATTTGTTTCGATTTGCAGTTAAAGATGAATGGCGACAGTGTTGTGCGCAGAAGTTTCTTGTTTTGTAGCATAGCACGCAAGCTGTCCAGCTTTAAGGTATCTGAAAACTCTTACTTGTAAAAACCAAGGTTTGGCATGGTCCACCAACTTATTCCCTGCAACTTCTCTCTACCATGCTTTTCAAGTCGTTAAAATATTGATGGTTTCTTTGCAAGCTGTAATCCCATTGATTAGTTAAAGTTAATAAAAATCTTAGTTCTTTATGCGCAGAGAATGCTGCTTCATTTTCAAAGTGCAAAATTGTTAAGTAATTGTTCACACGTTAATTCTTGATTAAGCAAACGAAATAGTGGATTTGGCAAATATATGAGTGCCAGCAAAGAAGTTAGGCAGGATATATATATATATACACACACTAGAAACTTCTTATTGCTTGTTAGACTACTCCAAGAAAGTCAGAAATAGAGTACGTATCCCGGTTGCACCTAAGTTTCTCGAGCAATTTCTAGTTTAGTCGAGTACTTCTAATGCCTAATTGAATGCTTTCTATTTCTAATGTGCTAGTGTTTTGATTTGTTAGTTAAGTGACAACTTTTATCCCCTTTTTTTATATTAGTTTGGGGCTTCTTAATATTTGATTATCTTCACGATTCTTAGATATGGTTTTTGGTTCAATTTCACAAAATTATGAAAGCACTCAACCTCTGTTTATTGGTCCTTCAGTTTGGGAATAATTTAATTTTGCACCTTGTTTGGTCTCTAAATTTGGATGGGAACGGGTTGTATGTTGAAGGAAGAAACGAAAAACGTATGTCCAACTTGAAGGTAGAAGATGAGTTATTTATAGAGGAAATACATCCATTCTAATCCAACTCTAATTCCGAAAAAATGAAAAAGCGTTCACCTCTACCTTTTGATGTACCTAAATTTAATAGGTTATCCATTTCAATTTAATTATGAAAGGCTAGGGTCTCGTTTGGTATGTAGGATTGGAATCGTTTAATTTATTAATCTTGTGAGAGGTGCACTTATCCCCATTTGCATTCATCCCATGGGGGGATGCACAAATCTCCATTTGCGAATAATGTATTTTGACCGAATAAAATCACGATTGAACCATTTAATTTATTAATCTTCATTCACATATCACTTCTACAAAAAATCATTCGTATTGGAGATCCTTTAATCATGAATATGTTACTTGGTACCTAAACCGTCAGTTTTTTTTTTTTTTTCCTAAAAAAATACACCAGAAAACTTCGACGCTGATTAGCACTGACAACTTCCGCTAGCTTCATGCTGCTTATAATTAAGTTTATGGCAATATCCATTAGTTTTCTACTTAAATTGATTTTGAAAACCAAAATGGAAGAATGAAAAAGACAGAATGGTAGTAAAAAACTCTGTGACTTAAGATAACAGAAAATGCATAACAGAAACAGATACTACATTTATTATAGTGATTTACAAATAAATACGAACTTATTGTTTGAATAAAATAATACAATATAGTACATTAAGTAAAAGTAATGCAGGCATCCATGGTTTTCCTTTCTTATTAGGCCTTTCCATCTGGCTTCACAGTTAAGGTTTGGCACTCATATTCTGAGACAATGTTCTTGTGGATTCTGTCTATGAAAGCAGCAGCTTTGTTGTCAATCCCGGGCTCAGCCACGAACCCGCCTCTGTCCTCCTCGCTCGGCCAAACCCTCCTTGCACTCGTGTAGGAATCCTCCGCCATGTCGTCCCCTCCGCTATTGCGTGGCCTCCTCGATTTGAACATGCTGAAGAATGAGAAGGAGGATTTCTTCTGCCTGTTGCCTGCCATAACGCGAAAAGATAATTAAACACAAAGGTTTAAGTGAGATGAAGAAAGTTCTTAGTACTCACTTTGGTTTGTTGTGACTATTAAGAAGGTGTTTGTGTATTTATGGTAGGAGGTGATCCTAGTGGAGAATCTTGGAGGATTCAAACTGCAGCTAAGGAAGTAATTTTGGATGGTCGCGATCACAAATAAGACCAGAGGAAAAAAAAGGTTGAAAGTACATTTTCTATGGTCCTCTACTTTCTCAATTGACCAAAATACTCGTAGAATTATTGTCTCTCATTTGACCAAAAGCAGACTCATACAATTTTCGAAGAATTGCCATGGAAATTGCATATGTTGCTAGAGCGGGATGTGCTAGCTTCCTTATGCACTCGAGTTTAAATTCTCTTCCCCCACAAGAAGAAAAAAAGAAGAAGTACTACTAGAGCGGGATGTACTACTATTAAGAAGGTGTTTGTGTATTTATGGTAGGAGGTGATCCCAGTGGAGAATCTTGGAAGATTCAAACTGCTGCTAAGGAAGTAATTTTGGATGGTCGAGATCACAAATAAGACCAGAGAAAAAAAAAAGGTTGAAAGTACATTTTCTATGGTCCTCTACTTTCTCAATTGACCAAAACGGACTCATAGAATCATTGTCTTTCTCAATTGACCAAAGCAGACTCATACAATTATTGTCGCTTTATTTTTCGAAGAACTGCCATGGAAACTGCAGATGTAGCTAGAGCGGGATGTATTAGCTTCCTTATTCACTCGAGTTTAAATTATCTTCCCCATAAGAATTTAAAAAAAAAATTTACTACTATGAAGATTGTATTAAAATTTACAGATAAATCTTTTAAATAGTGATATTCCTCCTGAAGTTCATTGTTAACCTTTCCACTCTTTTCATCTTCCAAATCATTTAATTAGCAATGATGATCAGCCAAATCTGACCCGTTTTTGGGATGTGATCTACTTTTCTGTGATAGATTTATAGTTTTATTTGATTAGCTTCGGATTAGCGTACAGAAAATACCCTATGCCTAGCTACATTTGCATGTTGCAGCAGTCCTTGAAAAAGGGAAACTTTAACGAAAAGTTTTCAGTACTGTTTATTTTAACGAAAAATTACATTTTTACGCTAAAAAAACAATCATGATACTATTCACTTTACCCTTTATTTTGTCATTATCGTTAAAACTCAAAGTTTTCAAGTTATGTTCATTAGTTTTTCTTTGAAAAAAACTATTCTAAAGTAAAATGCGATTTGAGGACAAAATTAAAGCATGTACCATGTACAACAATTTGTGCGGAAGAAACCACAACCCCTATTCATGGAACTGACTTGGATTCCAAATAATTGTAGGCACCACAACCCCTAGCATGCTTTTCATGTCATTAAAATATTGATGGTTTATTTGCAAGTTGTAATCTCATTGATTAGTTAAAGTTGACAAAAATCTTAGTTCTTTATGTGCAGAGAATGATGCTTCATTTTCAAAGTGCCAAATTGTTAAGTAATGTTCACACGTTAATTCTTGATTAAGCAAACAAAATAGTGGATTTGGCAAATATATGAGTGCCACACAGAAGTTAGGCAGGACATATATGTATATGTATATGTATATACGCTAGAAACTTCTTACTACTTGCTTGTTAGACTACTCCAAAAAAGTCAGAAATAGAGCAGGTATTCCGGTTGCATCTAAGTTTTCTCGAGCAACTTCTGGTTTAGTCGACTACTTTTAATGCCTAATTGTATGCTTTCTATTTCTAATGTGCTAATGTTTTTATTTGGTAGTTAAGTGACGACTTTTCTCCCATTTTTTGATATATTAGTTTGGGGTTTCTTATTATTTGATTATCTTCACAAGATTCTTAGATATGGTTTTTGGTTCAATTTCACAAAATTATGAAAGCACTCAACCTTTGTTTATTGGTCCTTCAGTTTGGGAATAATTTAATTTTGCGCCATGTTTGGTCTCTAAATTTGGATGGGAATGGGTCGTATGTTGAAGGAAGAAATGAAAAACTTATGTTCAACTTGAAGGTACAAGATGAGTTACTTATTGTGACAGCCCGTCCTGAAATATATTTTCGATAGTGTGAAATGTCTATATTGCCCTTGAACGTTTGGTGGTGGTGTGTAAATAGGCCAAGGATTAGGGCGAATCCATTTTATCCCTAATATTTTGGACCCAATTGGAAGTAAGCTTTTGTTTGTTGGTTGGTAGCCCAAACTGGACCACACTCACACACCCCCACTCTTCTGTTGACTCTCTCTCTCTTCCCTCTCGGATTTCATCCATTTTCCGTACAATTGTACGGACAACTTCCAAACCAACCATTTCAGTCACGGATGGAGGCTGTGAAGGTGACTTTCGTACTCCTTGCGAGCTCAGGAACTCATCCATACTCTTGGTTGGAAGTGACGACGTCCGAAACTCGTGAACCAAGAAACCCCGATGTGGTGCACAATGGCTTCGTCATGATCGCGGAGGTTTCGTTGAATTTTAAGGTTCTAGTGAGCCTTAGGACTGTTTCACGAAGCTTAGGGAAGGATTTTGAAAGGTTTTGGACGTCAAGAAGCTTAATTTTGGCTAGTTGCAGAGGTGGTCGGATTATCAAGATTTTTCCGACGAGATTCCGTGAGTTTTAGGGCATAAAAGTGGTAAGGAAGTGTTCCTTTAGTCCTAAGCTTCATTTTGATATAAATTTCATGGATTTTGGTGCTAAATGAGTGAGAAATGATGGTTTGAAGGTTTCCCAGTTTCCAACGACGACGACGGAATCCGGTGACTCACCGGAGAAGAAGACAAATATTCTGTCAACTTTGACGGAATATTCCTAATGGCGTCAGGTATATTTGACGGTATATTCCATTAATTAAATGAATATTCCCTAACGGCGTTACAGATTCCGTCCACAGTGCCAGGCGAGGGGCCGTGCGTGTGGTTGTGCCTTGGCCGGCGCGTGAGTGATCGAAATTTTTTTTTTAAAATATGGGGATGTTCGTGGGGTTGAGTAGATCACGTTGGTATATTCAAACACCCCAATTGGGTAATGTATGAGAAGTTATTATCTAGTTTTGGTTATGTGCTTTAAAATAACGTTTATATAGTTGTTTCGCATATAGGTGAGACTTATCTTGAGGAAAAACGCAGTCAAGCGAGACTCGGGGGCTACGACCCTTCTATATATCAATTAGTGGGCTTTTGGTTTTCAGTATATATATATATATATACACACACACACACTAGGTATTTTTCCCAGAAAACTTATTTAAATGGTTTGATATTTTGAAATACCATGTCAAATGCTCTCTATGTTAATTGTGCATTAGTATGGTTATATATATTGTTGCTCAATACTGCGGACGCTCAGGTAAGCTTCAGATGAGTATATTGATAGTAGTGATGGTAGTGAGTATAATAGTGATGAGATATATTTTGAGCTTATTATCCTGCACCCCGGTGTTAGTGCTCCGCCCTAGGACAGGACCTAGCCTTCACGTGATCGTTCACCCCCCGCACCACACGCTCAGCTTGGATCAAAAGCAGGTGCTAGCCTGTCGTACAGACCACTTTAGGTGGTTCCGACTCGTAGGTGACTTGCGATACTTTGCACAGCCTTTACGTGACCGTAGCACTTAAGCGTATTTATTTACACTCAGCCTGTCATACAGACCACTTTAGGTGGTTCCGACTTGTGTGCAGAGAACTAGTTGATGAATTATAGATCCAGCCGTACAGGTTGCGTTAGGTGACTCCGGCTGGCATACCATTTCATATTGGTCAATTTCACCTGGCTTACTTATTTCTTGCTGAGATTTGACATGGTATATTTGTGGAATTGTTATTTCAAATTTGGTTTTGAGATATAAACTTGTATGCTATTTTCTGGGAATTATACAGGTTTTACAGCGAGGGGTTACTACTTTTGATAAGTGAAATGGTTTTAAAAAGCTTTGTTTTTGCCCACTCACACCTTCTGTTTTGCACCCTTCCAGGTTCTAGTTAGGAGTGCTTGTTGGTGGCTTACGAGGAAGTCACGGCAGCTCTGATAGATTATCACTAATGTAGGACCACCTTTAGGTGTTGTATAATTAGTATTTGTCATGTTGGACTGCACTTAGGCTACCTATACTCTGATTGTGTGTATTCACACTTAAATCTTATTCGCATTTCGTTTTATCAATGTCTTTCCGCACTATACACATGGCTACGCCACCCTCACAAGACAGCCAGCATGCCTCGATCTAGGTCGGGGTGTGTCACTTATAAAGGAAATACATCCATTCTAATCCTACTCTAATTCCAAAAAAAAAATGATAAAGCGTTCACCTCTACCTTTTAATATACCTAAATTTAATAGTTATCCATTTCAGTTCTATTATAAAAGCATGGGTCATCGTTTGGCATGTAGGATTGGCACCATTCAATTTATTAATCTTGTGAGTGATGCACTTATCCCCATTTGCATCCACCCTATGTGGGGGATGCACATATCTCCAATTGTGAATAACGTATCTTGACCGAATAAGATCACGATCGAACCGTTCAATTTATTAATCTTTATTCAAATATCATTCCTACAAAAAATCATCCAAATTGGAGATCCTTTAATCATGAAAATGTTACTTGGTACATGAATTGTCAATTTGTATAGATTTGAATGACTAAATCATCTCCAATTGAAATGAATTTTTTTAGGAACGATCTTCAAATAAAAATTAAGAAATTAAATAGTTCTGATTATAAAATTTGTACAATCAAGATACGTTATTTGAAATGGAATAATGAGCTCATCTCCCAAAATGAAATTCAAGTATTATCCAAGATGGATTAATCATTCAAAAAGATAAGTTACACCTTTGATATTAAACTTAGATACTCGTTCAAATTCAATGATAGACACCAAACGAGCAACGTCACCAAAGTCAATTGGGCTGCGTGGTCTCTCACTAAAACCCACCAAATCAACAGACGGTTCGGCCCATTGGGTTGACCCATTTGTACTTGGGCTATTGAACCCCCAATTTCAGTTATCATGATTACTTGTGTGTTAAACCAGTCGAAGAGGGTCAGAAAACAGAGAAGGTTAGAATCCGGAGCATCTTCGGTTCTTCCATTCGCCAGAAATTCACACTTTCTGCTTCAATCCTGGTTCTCTCTGCCTAATTGAATTGTTCATATCTACTAATGTTTTGATTTATTAACTAATTGCTCACTTTTCTGGTTCAGCAAGGCCTTTTTTTACTAATTTGGGGTTTTTTACTTAATTATCATTTGAACTATTCGAAATTATTTATATTTACCATATTCTTGAAATAGATGCTACATTTATTATTAGAGAATTTTAACAAAAAGCTCATGATACTATTCACTTTAACTAAAAATCATATTTTTACATTAAAAAGTCAATTCTAATACTATTCACTTTACCTTTTATTTTGTCCTTATCGTTAAAACTCAAAATTTTCAAGTCATTTTTATTAGTTTTTCTTTTATTATAGTGACTTACAAATAACGATTGCTTATTCTCTTATTTTTTTCAAATGAATCAAAGCGAAAAATGGATTTACGAAAATAGAAAACGAAATATCAGACAAAATCCATTTATACATTATTAAGTTACTAAAGCATCAGAGTCGGATTACGTGATGACAATATTTTGATCTGATACAAATCTCCATCTTATGAGTTTCTGAAGCTAACAAGATACACAGAACCAGAACGGTACGGCTGTTAGGCAGCTTCGGCAAATCCAACTTGAAGGTCTCCGATGTCGAACACCGTGTGGTACGCCCCCATGAATACATCTCCGAGAATCATGCAGGCACAGTATCAGCTAGGACCTAAACCCTAATGAAAATGCATCGAAGCTGGATAATCGTTTAAGGTTAATGATAAAGTACCAGAGAGGACCTGTTGGAGGAGCGACATCGTAAGCTGTAAACCCGCTGATAGAGACTTCAGCGACGCCTTCACCAGTTTTCAGAACATACTGCAGAAAACATGGAAAATGGTTGCAGAGTTTAACCAAGAATTAG